GCCAGGCACCAACTTCCCACTCTCGCTGCTCAACTTGAGTCAGCTCCGAGACCCGCATGGGACAGCCCTGCAGAGTGGAACAGGGAATCCCCAGGCTGGGACTCTCCGGGGACCCCCTTCTGACACCCCTCGTTAAATCTCCGCCGTGGTGCCACTCCCAAAGGTGGGCAAGCTGCTGTGTGTGCCGGTCTCTAAGTCCCGCGCCCTGCTCGCGCTCTGCAGTGCCAGGGGCTGGGCCGATCTTCTACCAAGTTTTCAGGGCGAGCAGGGATGCCCGATCCGGGGGTGTGGTCCCCGGAGCCCCCAAGTGGGCAATGCCCACGGAAAGGGTGTCTGCACTTGGAAAAGAGATGGTGGTGGGTGGTCCATCCCCCTTCGACTAGAAACTGGAAACCAAGCGACCACCAGGCCCCCCTCGTCCTCTCCCCCCACCCTCCCTGGCTCTGAGGAGCGCAGGTGTCTCTTCGGAGCCGCACCCTCTCTCCTCCCTCCCCCCTCCCCACGCAGTCCTGGGAGGGCGATCGGAAGGGAGCTGGCCTGGGGAGTGGGGCGGGGGGGGGACGCGGGGTTAGATGCGTTCGTGTGTCACGGGGGAGGGAGGAGAAAAGGGAGGGGAGAGGCAGGGAGCGCGCGCGAGCGCGAGAGAGAGCGCGCTGCGAGAGAGCGAGCGTGCGAGCGAGGAGGGCGGGCGGGAGGCGGATCCTCCTACCTGGGGCGCGCTCGCCTGCTCGCGGCGGCTCCCTTGCCCGGGCCGCGAGTCACCTGGGGAGGCGGACAAGTGCGGACACATTGGCCGCCGCGGCGCACCGCGAGGCGCGCACGGCCCCAGGCGGCTGAGCCCGGGCGGAGGCAGCTCCCGCCCACCCAACCCGCCCGCTGCGCCCAGCCCCGGCCTGCGCTCACCGAGTCCCCCACGGTCACTCGGCTGGGCTCCGAGGTCGCGCTTCCCGGCTCGGGTCACTCCCCGCCCTCCTCCCCACCTCCCGGGCGCACGCGGCGGCTGCGGCGCCCCGGGCTCACCATGGTGGCAACGCGTGCCGGGTGCCCGCGCGTCGCCCGCCGCCCGAGCCGGAGCGCCGGCTGAGCGTGGTTCTCCCGCTGCACCCCACCCCCGGCCCCTGCCCCGGCCCGGCCCCTGCCCGCCCGCGCGTCCCCTCCGGCCGCAGCTGTCTATGGCGGAGCCCCCCTCCCTGGATCATGCACAGAAACTTTCGAAAGTGGATCTTTTACGTGTTTCTCTGCTTTGGCGTCCTCTACGTGAAGCTCGGGTGAGTATTCCTGAGGGGGACGACGGGGGAGGCAGAAGGGGAGCCCCCAGCCTCGGGAGCCCCCTCCAGCGGACCTGGAGACCCGAGTTGGGGGGGAGGACGTTTCTTGGAGCGGCCGGGCTGGCCGGTGTGGCCGGCCCTCGTCCTGGCCTCGCGGAGACTTATCCGAGCCCCCCGGAACCAGAGCTCCCCCGGAGGGGCGCTGAGCCCGGGACGCGGCAGGGGCAGCGCGGCCCGGGGACGGCGGCAGCGGGGCTCGCGGGTAGCGGGGCGAGCGTGCCGGGCGCGTCCTTTCACCTGTTTGGGCTCCAGGCCCCGGGGGTGGGACGCGCCTTCCCTCCCCCGGGCTGCGCTGGGCGCCGAGCCCGGACGGAGCGCTCTCGCCTCCCGGAGGGCGCGCCGGGCCGGGGCCGGGGGGTGGGGTGGAGTGGGGTGGGGGACACATCCCGGGCAGGGGAGATCGGGGCGCGCACCCTCCGCGAGCGCACGGGCCCCCACACCCGCCGCGGCCCCTGCGTCTCTATCCATCACCCGGACATGTTGAAATTACCTTGACAACTCGTCCGGCTGGCTCGGGATGGGCCCCGGGGGCTGGCGCAGCAGCCTCGGGCTCCGGCCGGAGCCCGCGCCCCCGCCCGCCTGCCCACCCGCCCTCTCGGGGCCCTGCGCCCGGCCCCCTCTTGCCGCGCTCCCCCTGGCGCAGCCGGGCGGGCGGGCGGGCTCCGGGAGGGCCGCGCTCGCTGCTCGCCGCCGCCGCCGCCGCCGTAGCTGCTCCGAGTCGTATTTCCACATTCCTGAACCCAGCCGAGTCCTTACCTGTTGAGCCGCGATCTCCTTTAGACGGAATCTGTCTCGGCCTCCCCGGGTTGGGGGGTGGAGGGGCAGTGTGACCGAACCGAGCGCGGGGCACCTAGCGGGGTGTTAGTCGCTCTTGGCGGGCCTGGCCCGGACCAGCCCCCACCCACCCCCCGCCCCGAGCACCTGCGGGCATCTGCGCCCTCCGCGGCCCCGCGCTCCTACTGTGTGCCGCCTGGCACTTGGAGGCTAGCCTCCTCTTGGCCCTCGGGAGGCCAGTGACCAGACCTGTAGGAGGGGCGGGTTCCGGTACCTGGGAGACCGGCTTCCCAGGCGAGAGGTGGAAACAGCAGCACCCTTCCCCAGCCCTGTGCACCCTCCGCCATCTTACAGGTGAAGAAATTGAGGCCCAGAGAGGGGCAGGGACCAAGCTCGGTGGCCTTGGAGGCAGGGTTGGAAGTCCCGTCCTAGCCTTGTTCCCGCAAACCTGGGCGGAAGTGTCTGCGGCTGCTGGTGGCTGTGTTTATTGTAGGTTTGTGTGGGTAGGTTGTGTCCCTGCGTGTTTGTTTATGAAGGTGAGGGATGCCGGCTTTGAGCCTGCTGGGGGGTGGGGGTGGAGTGGGCAGGCCACGGCTTCCCGGACTCTCAGCAGCCCGCAAGGATTCTCCTGGGCCTGCGAAGGGATCCACAGCCCTTTGGGGAAAGGCTCCAGGCTGGTTCCAGCTACCTGGCTCTGGCACGGAGGCCTCTGAATTGGGTGCTTGACTCCACCGGCTCTGGCTTCCACCGCTGACCATTCTTTGTAGCACCGGTTCTTCAACAAGAGGCCTCAGCAGAGGCTTCCTATCAGCAAATGGGAAAGGGTGTCAGCAGATGGGCCTGGATTCCCGAGGTTGGGGACTCTCTGGAGTGGCTCCTGCGGTTCATCTCTGTAGCTCTTCTTTCGCCTTATGGGAGTAGGATTTGGGCTGTCTGTTCTGACCAGCATGGTGGTCAGTGTTGACTAAAGAATGGGTGGGTGAGACCCCGCGGGTCTCTTCTAGCCTAGCCTGGGTTCCTAGACGCCTGTGACCACTACCTCCTAGGACTGAGGAGGCTTTCCTCTGTCCGGGAGCCCCAAGGGAGAACTCTTCTCCCTCCAGAAACTGCTACCTACTTCTGAGTTAAAAAAAAAAAAAAAAAAAAAAAAAAAAAAAAAAAAAATCCAAAGACCAAGTTGAATGACAGCCAGGGAAGCCAGAGACTCACCCTGGAACCTGTAAAAGGGAGGCTTGGGCCTCTTTGTAATCTCTCTCTCTTCCTCCCTCTTTCCCTCCCTCCGTGTGTGTGTGTGTGTGTGTGTGTGTGTGTGTGTGTGTGTGTTCCAACAGGTGAGCAGGAAAGGTAGCCCGGCCTTCCCATGTGACCTAAAGGGATAGGTGGTGTGGGGGAGACCTCTTTGAAGGAGGCATCCCACACCCCTTCTGGCAGGTGCGTTAGTGACCTCTTACCCTGGAGCTGCCTCTCCCCCTCATCTGAAGACAGTAGCGATGCTGGTATCCCCCTTGGGGCTGCGGAGGGGTTGGTTCTGATGGCTCTCACCGTGACCTTAAGTGATGGTGGTGAAATACGGTGGCACCCGCCACTGAAGCCTTTCGTATCACCAAGGATCATGAGATCAAAGGTGTGAGAGCCGTTCTGGGGACCCCTCCGGATAGTTTATTTCGGGGAGGGGGTATTTTGTGATGGAGGCCCCTGAACCGGCCTCTGCTGAACATTTCCGTATGCACAACGGGGACTCCAGAAATCCCACAGGCACGCCTCACAAGCAAGCAAGAGCCAGGCAGGATTCAGCCCTTACAGCCCCAGACGGTAGGTTAGTGCCTAATCTAAGGTCCCTGAGGATGGAACTGACCTACTGGAGGAGGCCAAGGTGGGGTAGGAAGCAGCCAAGGTCATTGAGGTACCAGGACCAGCCCTGCCCTAGACTTGTTCCTGCTTTTGTTGTTAGGAGAGGAGGATGGGGGGGGGGGGATGGAGCAGGACAGGGAGGTCTGAAGGTAAGGGAGGTTCCCGACTCCTGGGTATCCAGGAATCTCCATGCCAAGCCCAGGAGCCAGGGGTCCGCTCACAGAAGCAAGGCTGTACACACACACAGTGTCCCCTTTCCTGCTGTCCCCCTGCTCTGAGATTTCCCCCAGCGGACACACACCTCCATAGAAGGACATTCCAATAAAGCCAGGCTCAGCAGAAAGAGGAGATGGGCCCCCAAATCTGTTTCTAGATCCCCAAAAACATTTACTAGAAAGGGGAGGAGTTCTTTAGAAGACTCTCTCCTTGTACCCGCTCCTCAATGAAAAGGACAGGATTAGAGACGAAGAAGCCAGAAGTGAGGGGCCGCGTGTGATGAGACCAGCAACTGGGGGGCTTCCCTGCCGCCTCTCCCAAGAGGTGCATGAAGTGGGTGGTGCGGGCACCAGACAATAGACCCAGAACAGAGCTGGCCCAGGTGCAGTGAGGGCGACCCACAGCCAGCCATCCCTAAGCAGACTGCACGCAGTCAGAGGGACAACACACACAGGGCATCTGGGCACACACACCTGCGGGCTCCCCTGCCGCCCGTGCTCTGGCAGGAACATGCAAGCTCATGCACGCACACATGAGCACACGCTTGCTGAGCACAGCCCCTAAGTGGCGCACACACCTCCGCGCGGTGCTGCTCCCGTAGATGCTCTCAGCAGCGGCGTTTCTCGCCAAAGGTTGTGGCTAGGGTATCCTGGCCAAGGCAACTTGGGCAAAGCCTGGGGGCGGCACCCGCTGTACACTCCGGTCAACCTCCCCTTTAAAAAAAACCCGCCCGCGGAGGAGGCGGATGTAGGGGCGGCCTGTCCAATGGCAGCTGCGCGCTTCGGGAGACTTGGAGACTTGAGCCAGAGTGAGCAACAGAGCCGGTTCGCACCGACAGACGGACAGAGGACCAGACAGACGCTAAGGCGCGCCCACTGTCCCCCGCCGGGCCCCCGCCCCGAACTCCAGCCCCAGCGCCCGCTGCTGCCCCCCGATACAGCATGATGCGCGCTCCTGGCGACGAGACACGGGCGACCACTGTCCCCCGGCCCCCGAGCCCTGGCCCCTAGCGCCCAGCGCTCCTGCCCTACACCAGGGAGGGCCGCGGAGACCCCAGCCTCGGTTGGCGCGGGAACCCTGCGGGTGGGGCCTGCCCAGCCCAGCCTGGCGCGCCGGCCCACCATGCTCCTCCTGTCGCCGCGCAGCGCGCTGGTCTCCGTCTATTGCCCGCAGATCTTTCTCCTTCTGTCCAGCGGCAGCTACCTGTGAGTGCCGCGGGGGGCGGGAGGGGCGGGCGGGCGGGAGCCCCTGAACACTACTGCTGGAGGAGGGAGGGAGGGGCGGATGGCAGATGGTCCCGGATGGGGCGCTGGGTGCCAAACGCGCACAGAAACTGGGGGTGGGGGAGTGTGTTCGGGTCATTTTGCTGGCTTATGCCGCTGAGGTAGATCACCTGGGGGGACGGCTGTGGCAACGGGAAATTTTAGCTTAAGGGTCAGAGAGAAGGTGGCCGGAGAGGTGATCCCACGGTCCTTGCGTATTACGCTACGTGCAAGGGGCGCGAGGGCCGTTGCTAGCCAGTCGCGTCCTGGACCGGCGGGAGACCCTCTTCTTAGGCTCTCTTAACCTACGGGGCTCGCACGGCCCCGTGCCACGCTCTGGAGAGCTACGTGCACCCATCCGCTTCCCCGCGCAGACACCGGCAGGCACGTGCATGCTGCGCCCCCACCAGACAGCGCGCCCAGGCTGTCCCCCGAAGTCTCCGTGGCCCCTTGCGCCGTTCTGCCGCGCCGGTCGGCCTTGACCTCTGCGCTCCGCCAGACGCCTTGCCAAGAGGCAAGGAGGGCGCGCGCTGTGCGCTCAGGTCGCCGAGCGCCCAGGTAATCAAGGCCCGGGGAGTGCGCGGAGCCCGGCGCGCGCTGAGCGAGGGGTAGGGCAGCGTTCACCAGGCTCAGGGAAGCTCGGGGTAGGGCCCAAGTCGGGCCCTGTGAGCCGAGGGGGCGCGTCCGCACAGCAGTGGCTTCGCCCGGTTCCTAATGGGACGCATATGCTCTGGCCTCCGATTTAAAAAGAAGTTTGATTTATGGAACCGCCGTTTGGGGGAATTGAAGCTGGATGCTACTGATTAAACCTCAGAGCCAGCGATCTCTCTCTCTCTCTCTCTCTCTCTCTCTCTCTCTCTCTCTCTCTTTCTCTCTCTCTCTCTCCTCCCCTCCCCCGCCCCCTCCTTAACACGCGGGCCACGTCCGGGGTCGCCTAACGCGGCCAGAGGCGGCAGCCTCCTTCCCGCTCCCTGCACCCACCCCCTTCCCGCCCCGCGGCCACAGTCCTGATAAATTGCCCCGCCCCCACCCCTTTTAATAAAGACGCGGCCAATTTCTCCTCCAGCTCCTAGGAAATTACTATCCTACCAGTTTTCCTTCTATAAATAGTCGCGCATCTTGAAACAAAAGTTCGCAACCGCAGCCAGATGCTGCGAGGCCCGCGGTTTCCCCGGCTGTGGAACATAATTACAAGGTCCGGGCAGAGGGAGCGCTCCAGGCCCGGCGGGCAGCCCTGGCTGCGGAGGCATCGCCTGGGGTGGGGAGTAGCAGGCCGCCCAGGGCAGGGCGCAGGGCCCGTGGGCACCGCCTGATCGGTGGGGACCTGGCCAAAGGGAATCCTGCTTCCGTTGTCCTTGCCTGAAATGGATCAGTCATCAGGGCCTTGGACTTCAAGGCTCCTGCCGGGTTCTGGAGCCCCTGGGGGCGTCCCCTTCCCCAGATCCTGGCATCTGAAGAGCCAGCAGTTCCTCTGCCTGAGAAATCATTTGGGGAAGCTAGCAGCTGAGGTTTGGTGTTCCTGGGGAGGTGTCCAGGGGAGGAGGCCAGGAGTTGGGTCTGAGAGGAGAGGACTGCAGAACTGGTTTTGTCCCACAGCAACTGCAGGGGGCTCTCCGGGAGATAGCAGCCTGAGGCCCTCCTGAAGGGCCCACTCCGGCTTGGCGGGTGACCTCCACCCTCTGTGCCCACATAGGTTTGTCCCTGACTCTACTGCCAACTCTGGGAGATGAAATTCTTTCAAGGAAGCAGCCTTTAAAGTCTGTCCAGGCCAGTGCTGGGGCCAACGTGGGTGGTGGTAGCTGGGGGGCAGCGAGGGGAAACCAGGTCCCTTCCTCTTCACTGATCCTGCCTGGTTCAGCCTTGGCCCTGGGAGGGAGAAAGGGCTAATGCTTGCAATGCTGGGTTTTCCTCACCTTGATGGGTGTTGCAGAGTCGGCTGTATAAGATGCATGAGAGGGAGGGGCCTGTAAAATTACAATGGAACCATGGCGAGTACATGGGGGGGGGGGGTGTCCAGACACCCCCGTGGCAGAACTTGGCTAGCTGGCCAACGTAGAAGAGCTCTGCTGACTGTAGAGGTAGTAGGGGCCAGGGTGACACCCCACCCCACCCACCCCAGCACTGCAGGAATATCCCAGAGGGTGTCACAGCAAGGAGGGGCCCCGAGTGGAGGCTGTGTTCCGTTTCAGAGAACTTTCCAGAGTCTGGAAAGTTCTGGGTCCCATTGCTAGATCACAGACACTGGCCAACAGTTGATCCTGCCCCTTTCAGCTGGGCTGTTCTCCCAGCTCCCCATGCCAGGTTATCATCAGAACACAGTGAATCCCAGACACATGCCTGGGCCTCTGCCGCTGATCGTGTTGGACGGGTGTGCTGGCCTGAAAGGGCCCTGAGCCTCCATCAGTCTTCAAGTTGTGATCCAGCTGTGAGAGGCTGCTCTGGTCACCTCTACCCCTGTGTCGCAGAGTGGGGGCCCAGTGGGGTCTCAGCAAGGGACCAAGGGAAGGCAAATGGGGGCTGAGGTCACCAGAAGGGTTTGTAGTGCTGGGTCAGCTGGTAGGAGGGCCTGGCCCAATCCTGGAGCCAGAACCAGTCTGGGCTACTGTAAGGGCAGGTCCCTTCCGTTCTTGGCCTCCCTGTCCTAGATGTGGTAGTTGGCTGTGATGCCCCCCCCCCCCCCCGTGTCTTCCGGTAGAGCCTGTCATGGTAACCGCCTGCTCTGGGGAGCTGGGTGAGTCATGGGTGACAGGATGGTTACTCACCGACCACCTGGCTTGGGGGTGCAGAGAGTGCTCACCACTGTCTTCCCCAGGCCCAGTCAGGCCTCTTCCTGGCTCCTGCTGTGGCTTTGCCGGTGGTGCTGACCACAATCCTAAAAGCCCTGTGGGCATGACCCTTGGTGAGCTGGGCGCTGAATCAGGCCGCTCCTGTGGCATCAAGGTCCAGGAGGGCAGTGTGGGTCACAGGACTTCAACATGGACAGGTCACCTGGAGGGTGGTGTCCGTCTGGACCTCAGTCTCCTCACCGGTCACAGAGCAAAGAAGACTCAGGTCAGGCCTAGGGTATCTCTGGGTTTGAAAGTATGAGACAACCCACAGAATATTGGTACCACAGGGTTAAGGCTGGGACACCTGAGGACAGCTTAACGCCTAGGAAACCTTCTATCTGGAGCCCCTGTGACCATGGCAAACTACCCCAAACCCACTGTTGTATGGCTCGCCAGCTGAGAGGGGAGCAAGGTATATTCTGGAATGGGCTTTTCCCAGCCCTTGTATGTGCAGGGTGCTTTGTCTCTCTCTGGGCTTTGATTGTACAGGGGGATTGGGGGTGATGGAACTGGAGGGTGGAACCCTTTCTAACCTGGTTTCCTTGGAGTCCTGGAGCCCAAGAGGCATGCCAAACCTTGGTTCTCATCCTTACGCTACCTCTTCCTGTGTGGCTGTATCCTAACCCTAGCTCACTCCTCTCTGCTCAGGGAGAATCTGTGGAGGTCACACAAACCTCACAGGGTGACCTGGACCAGATTTAGAGCCAGTGCTCAGTTTAGATCCTGCTGTTAGGGACAGTTCAGGAGACAGGTGGCTCTTGGGTAGCAGGAGCAGGGGAACTGGCTGTTAGTGATTCAGAGGGAGGGGCCAGATTGGGCAGTCACTCAGGGAAGAATAGAGGGTTCCTTGAGTGTCTCAGGGGGCTTCCTGCAGGTGGATCCAACTGGAATTTTAAAGGATGGAGGCGTTTTGGCCGAACTAAACAAGCTCACAACAGAAGGACTCCTGAGTGGGAGAACGTGGCTGTTAAACACATCCACCTAGGGGTCCCCATGGAGAGACAGACACAGTCCTGGGGTCCTAGAGATGACGACACCCAGACCCCAGCTCATCATCTTGTCCTCCTGGCACTAGCTTCCACATGGCTCTCTCCCTGTGGTGATCCATCCCAGAGGAGGGAAGTGGCCACAGCCAGTGGTCACAAATGCAGCGAGGCAGGTGAACCCAGTGAAGGGAGACGTGGCTGCCTCTGGTTCTCTGCCCTCATGCTCTCCCACTAGGCCTCCAAGCCATGGGCTGCCCGGGGTGGGGGGGCAGACCCTAGGAAGACCAGAGTTAAATTGCTGTAGGTGCCCGATGGACATGGATGCCCTGCTGGGGTTTGAGCCAGTATTCTGGGCATGATGGTAACAGGAGGGCTGGGATGGAAACTAGTATTTTGGACCCAGGCTCCCTGTGAGCAGAGGGTCAAAGGGGAGTGTGCAGATCAGGGCCTCTCTGTGCAGCCTATAGCCAACCCACTAACCTCTGCGTCTCCCGGGCAGGTGGAACAGCTACAGCAGGCTCCCTGGAGGCCTCCATTTTGCACAGTCCTGAGTCCGGCTGGGATAAGGCTCAGCTCCCCTCCCAAGGGGACAAGAGGCTGGCGCCCTCCCTTGTCAGATGAAACCCCGGCCCAGGGCTCCCTCAGCCTGATGAAAGGGTCATTGTGTAATACAGGCCGCCCGCTGGCCAAGGACAAAACGGCCGTTTGTCCTCCCTCCTTGGTGTGGGGCTGGGGGCCTCCCCTCAGGCTGGCCGGTGGGTGGGGGTGGGTACAGGTGCGCTCCAGGCTCCCTCTCCTCCTTGTCTTCCAGCTCAGCCTGCCCCTCCCCCAGTCCCCGTACCCACCCCGGGTCACCTTGCCCTTGAGTGTGGGTCCCCAAGCTTGGGCCAGCTTTACAGCTGTCTGGGAGACAGCGAGCTTCCTGGCCCTGGGGGCATCCAAGCAGATGTAAGCATGAGACCAGGAATTCCGAAGAAGGGCTCTGCTGGACCAGGGAATCCAGCGCCCTGGGCAGTCCATGTAAGCAGCCAGGTGTGTGGTTGAGGCTACTGTATTGGCTCAGATGTGCTGCAGCCATGGCTGAGACTGGGAGTGGAAGATGCTAAAGGGCAGAGAACCCCCAAGTGGC